CACAGACAATAGGATGATTAGCACACATTAGCTGCCAAACTTTTGGGCTTAACTTAAATCTTGATTAAAGTATGAATAGTATTTGTTATTTAGTATCTTAAAATCAGTTAATTTAAAAATCGTCTTAAAAAGTTGATGACAGAAGAGCAAGAGATTCTCAAATTTCATCTGCACTTGATCAAACTGAGATAGGTCTTTGTAGATGTTTTTCATAATTAAAAAGGTCCAGTTATTTTTCTTTAGAAATCTCTGGGTTCTAACCACAATAAAGTTATAAATTGAGTCATATCTGTGTACCAGAATCTTTTAATTGTCTTGAATTATCACTATGGGTAAAACTATATAAAAATAAATTTCTTTAAAATTTTTTCCTAACAAATTGAAGTTCTTATTATTATAACTCATGTGTGTAATTAAGCTATTAAACTTTATGCCTATAAATTTTAATCCTCTTCAAAGTATTCTCCCCCAACATCAATACACTTGTCTCAGTGTTTTTCTTAATACTAGAAAGAGTTCTGGAACTCTTGAATTGGAATATTATTCTTAGCACACAGCATATTTTCTTGTATTTCATACACATCAATGACTGTATCCATTTTCCGTATAACTGTTGGTTTATCTTTGGAAGTAAAAAAGTCACATGGAGCAAAATCCATTGAGTAGGTTGGATGAGACGTAAGTACCATGTTGTTCTTCACTAGAAGTTGCTGAATGGAGAGAGCTGTGTTGACCAAAATGTTGTCATATTGGAGGAACCAATCTGTACTTCTATAATTCTAGCCATTTCTGTCATACAACCTTTGCAGAACATCATGATGAAGTATTAGTTTTGTATTTTTCCTGGAGGAATAATTTTTTTCTGCACAATCCTTTTCACATTAAAGGAAGAAATCAACAATGCCTTCATGATTTTTTTAAAATTCATATCAACATACTTTCTTGGCTGTTTATGAATTAAATATTTCCATTGCGATGGAGCTTTTTTGTTTTAGGTTATACCCATAGCACCAAGATTTCAATCTTCACCAGCCGCAGTCTTTATACGTAACTGGAGTCGTGCTTGCTGCAAATGAAAAATCAACTACAAATCCTGCTTTAAGTCACTGCAGGCATTCTTCCTTTTATTTTTCTGCTCCTGTATGAGAATGTAAGGCACAAATTTGAAAACAATTTTTTCAAATCTTCCAGTTAAATTCTTTTCCACAATAAATTTGTTTCTTTAGAAACAAATTTGATTCTTTATTAACAGGTCTTACTTTTGCTTTGAAATATTCCTTACTTTGTAAAAGATTGGCCAGAAGTGTATAGTGAATTAATTAGCCATGGGTTGGACAGTGGCTCTCAGTGCATTTCCAAGGTGTATGCTATCACTGGCAGATTGGAGATGCATGCAGCTCGAACATTCTGTGAACATATAAAAACCTACCTGGTTGATCCTGCCAGTAATCATATGCTTGTCACAAAGATTAAGCCATGCATGTCTAAGTACATGTCATATTAAGGTGAAATCACAAATGGCTCATTAAATTCATTATGGTTCCTAGGATTGTACTGTACTACTTGGATAACTGCAACAATTATAGAGACATGCAGTAGAACGCTGACCTTTTGGGGCAAGTGCTTTTATTAGACCAAAACCAATCGGACCTCGGATTCTAAACCAGGGTTAAAACATTTCATACAGATTAATGCCATATGGTAGATGGCAGGAGAAATCCCAAGCTAACATTGTCTAGTGCTGGGGTTCTCAACCTTTTTGTCCCTGAGATCACATTCTAGAATATTTGTTGGATGGTGTGAACCATTTACTTTTTCAAGGTTAATTATAGTTGCATAGAGTTAATAACATATCCATATAAAAAGAGATTGTTCGCATTTTGCTTTGTGCCAGTATCTGTTGCAATTTCTATTTCATTAAAAATGAGAAAATTTTCATATAGCATTTTATTGAAAACTAAAATATTTTTATTGTGATCGCACAGTGTCGGGCACATTATAAACGCACAGCGGGTGCCATGGTGCTCGCTGGTATAGGGTTGAGAACCCGTGGTTTAGTGGCATGATCTGTAATTATGAAAGATATATTTGCTGCAATGTAGCTAGTTATTTTTTGGATACTCTTATATATGTATTTGTATATATTCTATTCAAAGCTTTGTATGTAGGCTCTAGAAATTGTTTATTTAAAGTGTGTGGTCTTTCCCCTGTGTTATTATTTAAAAACATTTGACTCCTATTCTGTGAAGAGGGATAAATGTGTGGGCTCTTTTTAATATATGAATGAGTGTAAAGTATAAACTACTATTACAAATCTGTATTTGTTGTAGCATTGTATATGGTAATATTTTTAGAAACTTTGAAGCAGAAAAATTTTATCTACAAGAGTTTTCACAGAAAATATTTCTGTTTTTAAGTTTATAATTGGCACTTTAAAATTTTCTTGGATGTATATGAAACCTTTTGTTGATTTAAACAAAAGCTACTGAGTTTTATCATACTTGATTGCATACTTTCTGTCATTAATGGGGCCATATTTTCCAGGTTCTAATCGATTTTCAGTTCTCCATTTTTTATAAAACCATTTGTTTTTAAAATTAAAAATTTTGTTGTGCTTTGAGCAGTTGCTTTGCCATATTCCTTATATTGTAAAAGATTAGGCTAAAATGAGGTATATAATGGAGCAAGACATAAAAAGAATATGAAAGATTGGCATAATTTTCCATCACAGGTCTATTAGTTTGTGGTGTAAGATTAATGTAGTGTTTCCAGTGCAGATTCCTCAATAGTGACATTTGCATTGCTGCAGAGAAACAATACTGTGTTTGCATTGTCTCATAGAAACTGACATAAAGTTCAACAGAAAATTTGGACCAGTGTGTTGTGTTTGTTACATTTTAAGCAGAGATTCCTCAAGACTTTGTAGCTGTTGTCAGCTGATTGTAACTGTTCAAGTTGAATTTCAGCAAGTCCAAGAGATTACAGAACCAACATCTCACCTGCATGACTTGGTAGATGCAGTTGCATGTGCACATTATGATAGTTTGTTATCATGACGTGAAAAATATTCTTAAGTATTTCACTTTCAAAAGCAATATTCACCTTTCTTCCTTTCTGAAAGTGTATTAGAGGTCATAGAGAGAAATAGAATTCTGTTAATTTATTCTCCCTCCCGTCTAAAGTAGCGGCATGCTCAAGATCACCTTTGGCAAGTATTGACAAAAGATTGACATTTGTTGCAAACCAGTTAGAGATAAGAATCTACCCTTTTCATAGAATTCAGATTTTATGCGTAGTCAGTTTTTTATCTTTAAAATTACATAAGCTAAAGAGAAATTTTTGAAAAATTCGTAATTTTCGGAAAATTTTATCTCAAATAATATCAGGCATGTCAATAAAATGTTTTAAATATCAAGAATAAGAGGAAAAAAGTTTTTTTCATGACAAAAAGTTGACGAGGCAATTTTTCTTGAAATCAAAATTTCTTAAAAATCTTCAATTTTTCTTCAAATTCAAATGTGGGGCCACGGGAAGAAGACCCCTACCCTAAACGATAGAAGTTCAGTATGATTTTTGACTCCATATTATATCCCATTCACAGCATCACAGATATCGGTCAATTATCTTGTTGATTGGAGAATTGCAGGTGGATTTCATGTGCACTTCACTAGTAGAAATGGGACTTCAATCTGGCTGTTCAAATAGCTTTTACTTATAGTTGTCTTAATTCAACCTGTTTCTACTGTATCAACTGAAAGATTTTTCATTAATGTTTTACTTTAATATTACTTTTGTAATTAATTATTTTTATGAAATTCTGCAATAAAATAGAAAACTGAAATGTATGAAAATATTTTAAGTATCAAACATTTATCATTGCTTTCTGTAATTATTTTTTTTAGGATAGAAATACGATTATTAAACTTCAGTATATATTGTAGATTTATAAGTTTTAAAAGGAAGGTTGAATTGGTTTTGATTTATTAATAAATTTAATAGGAGCATATTTTAATTGCATTGTACATGTATTATACTTACTAAATAGTTTGCAAACCATTGTGGATTTTTAACTGTTTAAATTCTTTGCATAAAAATACATTGTGTCTGATTAATTTGCCATACTTGGTTAACAAATTGTATTATTACCTTTTCCTGTGTTTAGTCAAATAAATAATTTTTAATCATATGTGTACACTTTTATTTATGCATGCATTTCTTAAATTATGGAACTGTTTCTGAAACTTATTTTTATTTAATAACATGAAATATGTTTGAAATAAAAATATATGTATTTTATATAACATGAAATAAACCTGAAGCAAAAACTGTTTTACATATCAATGATTATTATAAATTCTTCCCTTTTTTTCTTATGGAAGATTAAGTCTATATTTCATTCTTCTGAAAGCCAAAATGCTAGTCATTTAAAGAAAATAATGAATATATATTTAATAATGAATACTATGTTAAATATCACTTATTAATTTATTTTCATATCTATACTAGAAATGTAATAAATCTTTTAAGTCTTTTGGAAAGCATATGTTACTTTTTGGTCAGTATACAGGAGCAGATTTATGAAGTGGTTTGGGCACTTCACCTGAACTTCTTGGTCTCTTATATTAGAGGGTATGTTTACTGTTTTAAAAAAAATATTGCATAACTCTTGGAATGTAGAGTCTTGCATGAGTACCACTTGCACAACTCCATAAATCTGCTGCTGCAAGCATAGATAATTAAATTATGATGATGATGATGATATACAAAACAAATTGCTTGAAAATAATAAAATAACAATAAATGGTATCAGAAAAGAAAAGTGTAATTACCAGATACTTTGAATTATAACAATTATTCAAATCCAATTGATAAAGATTGATTTAAAATGTTTAATGATTTACTGTCATTCATTTATTTTAAGTTTTTTATATAGTTAAATAAATGCTGAATATAATTGCTCTAAGTTATCTTCTATCATTTATACCTGTTTTTTCCCCCAGGACCTAAGCTGAGGTTTATTGAAAGCAGGCGTGGTCAATGGTGGCTTGTACACAAAGGTTACTACTACCGTAGAGACTGTACTTTACAGTATAAAACTCATTGGAGGTGTCGTTGGTATGATAAATGTAAATGCTACGCTAGAGTTCATACAAAAAATGATGAGGTTGTCAAAGAACTTGGATTTCATAATCATGAACCAGACTGCTTGCCGGTGCCTGAAGCTTATGAAAATAATTTTTTTCATTAAGACTGCTAAAGCTCATTTTAGTAAAGAAAAAAGTTGAGTTTTTGTAGGTATTTTTATTTATTTATTCTTTTGTAGAGGTTGAATACCCAATTACGTAAACCTCATATTTGCATAAGAAATTTTATTTGTATTTCTTTTAAAGAATTTGAGATTTTGTTCTAAAATTATTCTTATAATTATTCCAAATTTCAGGTTATACTGTCCCATTATGTTTCTTTAATTTTATATTTTAGTTTATTTTGAAAAGTTTTTGATGACATGTTTTTTCTTTATGTTATTGCCTGAATAATAAAGTTTGTTTCTTATGTGTAATTAATATATTAAAGAAAAAATGCTAATTTAAAAATTTAATTAGTGTGTCTTTTTTAATGAAAACATTTAAAATATTTGCATTATTCAAATTTAGTTTAAATTACAGTCTTAAATTTTTAAACATAATTGGTACTTTTAATTATTTATCTTTCAGATTCAGTTTTGGCTAGCATAGCTATGAAAACATGCCTTATTTAAATGAGTGCATGTGAAATATGAACTCGCATGTCTCATTTTCAATTCTGTATTTCTTATAAAATTTATGCATTAAGTCTGTTTTGCACAATATTCATTTTTACATTATTTGCATTATTGCATATAATTTTGAACTTAACTTATTTCATTAAGGGGGAACTCTCTTTTCTTCTTGAAAAGAAAAGTTGGTGCGTCTTTGATAGGCATCTTTTGTAAAATTAGTAACAATCATATATATTTCAAAACATTTTTTTATAAAAATTTTGTCACGGTGTCCTCTTAGAGTTTTACATGAAAAAAATCCTACTAAAATCTGAAGATTTCAGAATAGTAAGATTTCTCTTCTGTATTTAACCTATGTGAACTGCTGTAACATGTTCTAACTATTTAGATACAAACTTTTATGTGCTTTCCTGTTTCTATAGATGCGTGAATTTTTCATTTTAAAGTATGTGCTTTCTAAATTAATGATAAAATTATTTATAAGAATTGCTCACATTATTTATAGAAAAAAAAAGGTCCATATTTGTATTTCTTTCCACCACCAAATCATTTCAAAAGCAGAAGTTTTTTTTTTTTTTTTTTTGGTGTGTGTGTGTGTGTGTGAATATTTTTTATGTGTAATGACCATAAAGATAATTTTTAAAAAGATTTTCTGCAGTCACCTGTGTCCCTTTTCAATACATTTATTAATAATTAATTTTTAATAGCATAATGTGTCTTCATCTTGAATTCTTATGAAAAATATTAACATTTTAAGTATAGTGCACATTGTTTTCCTCTTTTATGGTAAAATAAACATCGTAAGGCATTAAAAAAATTTTAATATAGTTGCATTTAATTATGAAGAGCCTATAGGAAAAGGCATGTTAAGTTATTGTTTGAAATCTCATTTCCTTCATGGTAGCACAATTAGCAAATGCATTTGGTTTTGTTTGTGATTCAGAAAGAAATGCATGGATTCAATTGTAATATAAATAATCCTATGTAACTGTTAGCTGATGTAATCAACATGATTTTAATTTTAAGAGCTCCTAATGAATTTAAAATACAAGCTAAAATTACAAATTTAAAATACAAGCAAGTTTGGATTTTCTAAATAGTTTATGAATATCTTCTGTACTAATTATATTACTGTTAATAAAGAAAACATTTTCTTATTAGAAGTAAAATATTCTTCAAATTGCAGTCTGCTGCATTTTTTACTAAAATCAGTTTTTAAAGCAAGTTATAACAATAAATGAGAATAATCCTTATGAAAAATTAATTGATACTACAATTATTCAGTCAGATATCAGTTTGATAGAACTTGCAAGTTTCTAAACTGCACCCGATAGTATATCTGTAATTAGTAATAGCTAAAATAGAACTAAAATGATAAAATTACAAAGTTAATTGATGCATAAATTAAGGAAAGACATGGGAAAGATATCTTTCTTAGACATGGGAAAGATATCTTTCTTAGACATGGGAAAGATATCTTTCTTTGCTTAGAGAGGAAGAATTTCATGCAAGATTTTCTAAAGGAACTATTTGATTCATATTTACATTATACATTGGAAAATGTTATGCAGCCAGTTCAGGCTCTAGGAACAAATTTGAAGCATTTTATCCTGTTAGCTGTTTGACACTAATGAGCAAAATTAGATGATATTTTTATTGGTTTTATAGTAACATTAGTAACACAAGATTAATATTGTGTAAAATTCTAGTATGTAATAGTCTGCTTATTGGAAATAATCAAACTTATCTTCTGTCATATGTGTGTATATGTCATATATATATGTAGTATATATATAGAGAGAGGGTTATTCAAACGTTATACAAACCAAAATTTAAAGAATCATGGATACTCCAAAATAGATTTTAATAGCAAATTGTTTCTCTGGATGACAACCCTGTACTCTTTCAAGTAATATAGTCAAAAGTCGTTAATCCCGACTCGTCGGGACTTCGGCGATTCTGGATTATAGATCTTCAGTTTAAATCTCGTAAGATGGCATGCAGAAATTCTAAAATTAAAAATATGAAACCGTAATTTATGAAATAAAGAACAATTATGATCTAAAGGGTATCAAAATTTACAAAAAAAAAAAAAAGCTTAATATTTATTTGTTTACTTTATTAAACATTTCTTTCAATGTAAGTTGGTTAAGTTGCTTCATTTATGTGATAATACTTTCTCTTTAATTCTGTAAACAGACATATTTTTTCTGTTCGGTTACAAAGTTCCGTTGTTTCAAGTCCCGGTAATTGCTGTGCCGAGAATACCGACTAACTTGTCAATCGAATTTTTTTCGTTTTCACTAACCTCTCTGTCACATTCTTCATGTCTTTATCCATTTTTTGCAGCAATTCCACTTTTTGTTTGTTGGACATCGAAACATACTTTCGTTTTGTAGATCCTTTGGAAGTTCCAGCATCGGAAATTGTATTTGACATAATCGAAAGTTCATGTTTACTTTTATAAAATTGCTCTTACAGTCTGCAAAAAATAATAAGCGGGATCCAATTCGAAGATTAAGGAACAACGCAATCATTAACATTAACTGAAATAGATAATTAGGTAATTTTAGCTTACACCGTCCGTTATGCATTAAACGCGCAGGCGAAAACGTATTCTGCACTTGCGCACACGCATATGCGCAGTAGTCAAGTTCTTACGCGCACGGGTAAAACACCTGTGTGCATGTGCCAACGCGGCACATGTGCAGAAAGTTTTTAACTTTGAGGTCCGGATTATGGGTGTCCGAATTAACGACTTTTGACTGTATATCACTTAAAATTTCAGTTGCACTTTATTTTGTTAGCTTTAAAAAACCATTTATTTGATGCAAGACAGAGATGAGGTCCCCTTTAGTAGAATGAAGTTTTATGACTGAGCATGACTTACCAGCCATGTTTTATGACTTACCAACACTGTATTGTGAAAAAATATCATTATCATTAAGTACAAGGTGTCTGAAATGGAACTATCGCATTACCAAATTAGAACCATCATTTACTTCCAGTTCTGTTACAAAACGTCAGCTACAAAATGTCACCAAATCATGTGTATAGCTTTAGGTACTAATGTTGTATCATATGGCACTGTGTATCTGTTGTATCACATACATTACAACATGTCACACACATTTTATGATTGAGCATTACTCACAACGTATTCTAATGGAAATGTGGCTGAAGCATTTAAAAAGACCTTCCCAAATGTTCCTGAACCTGAAAAGATAGTTATCTTCTACTTGAGAGTGATTTTGATTTCAGGAAACTGGAAGTGCTCACCATAGGAAGTGAAGTGGCCACTTGTCTCATCTGAGCTCAGACAAAATGGAGGAAGTCAGGAATAAAAATCACCAACAAAAAAATGGCATCGCAGTTAAGTTTAGGCATTATAACGTAATACTGAATTATAAAAAATTGTTCTGTATGGAGAAATGTCATATCCATCTTTCACCAAACAAATTGTTTTGTAAGTTTAGAACATAAATTGCATTTGAAGTTTCAAATGATATATCAGGTTTTAACAAAAGTTTCCTGCCACTGCAAATGTTGTCTGCACAAACAGTTCACGTTGGCATATTTAATCATATTTTGTCAAATCATTTTTGGTATTTGAAAGGAAGTGACTTGCTTTAGAACACTGTATTGTGAAGAAATATCATTATCATTAAGTACAAGGTGTCTGAAATGGAACTATCACGTTATCACATTAGAACCATCATTTACTTCCAGTTCTGTTGTAAAAACGTCAGCTACAAAATGTCACCAAATCATGTGTATAGCTTTAGGTACTAATGTTGTATCATATGACACTGTGAAAGTTTGATACTGAAAGTTCAAAAACATGGACTATGACATTCAAGAAGCAGAGTGCTCTGGGCAGCCTACTGATGTTGATAAGCCCTGCCTGTGAGAACTCGTAGAAGAAGATCAGTATGTAACCACTCAAGAGCTTACTAAGGAGTTGGATGTTAGTGTCATGCCCATTAATGTTATGCATCGTATGAGCTGACTCAAGCAGAGAAGGACAGACGTATTCGGGACTGGACTAATCTGCTTAAATATCAACGAACGGATAAAATTTTGGACCGGATCGTCAGTTGTGATGAAAAGTAGATTTACTTCAACAACACAGGCTGAAAAGAGAGATGGTCTGCCCCTGTTGGTAGCTTCGCAAAGCACATTTTGACTACGGAAAAGTTCATGCTTTTTATCTGGTAGGATTGCCGTAATATTATCCACAAAGAGTATCTAAAGAAAGGTAAAACCCTCGACAGTAAGGTGTACAGTGAGGTGCTAGTCCGTGTTGATGCTGCTATCAAGTTAGAACATTGAACTGAGTTCCAGTACAAAAAAATAATGTTCCATCAAGGTAATGCAAGGCCATATGTCTCTGCATTTACCAGCTGGACTCTGTACGGACGCAAATGGAATCTTTAGTCACACCCGCCATATAGGCCGTCATTGCTCCATCGGACTTTTATCCTTTTCCACACCTGCAGCTACATCTTTCTGGTGCTATCTTCCATTCTGCACAGGACATCCAAAATGAGGTTGACCTGTTTTCGGACTCGCGGCCGCCATGTTTCTGAGCTGAAGGCTTTGAAAAACTACCAAAAAATATGCAGAAAATCATAGATTCTAATGGTGATTACTACCAACACCTTCTTTAACTGAAGCACAACCAGCAGATCATGACATCACAAACTGACGGCTGACAATCGCTGTTGGTTACTACTTAAAAGTATATGTATTTTTTAAAGCTTTTACTAAAAGGATGGTTTCTTCTAAATGTAGATGCATATTATTTTTCTTTTTACTTTATATATATAGAGAGAGAGATGAAGATATATATTTTCAATTCATTCGCGGATATAATATTGAAAACATATTCATATGCACAAAATACATTATATATTATTAATTTTTTATGCTCTTATATTGTATGTTTACAGTTTAAATAATGCTTTAAAGTAATGTTTGGCTTTTAATAAGAATCTCCCTCCATACTAATAATATTCAAGTCACTTAACAGCATAAAAAGTATATTGGAAGCATGTATAGAAGTATTTTTAAAGCTATAGAAGCTTTTAAATTATAGCAGGGCAAATTTATAAGCACAAAAGTTTCCATTAAAGAAACTAAGTCTGTATACACATATATACACAAATTGTATTACAGTTCTTTCTTATTTTGAATAAATAGTAAGGTGGTGTTTCCAATCCTTGTTACCAGAGTGTACGTGGTAGAGCCTAATTAAGTCAGGAAAAGTGCTATGATATAATAGGATACCGGACGCCCCTTGCATTAACACTCCATCCTTCCCTCCTCCCGTAATGAAATTCGCAATTTTTTCCCCTTCTGTCATTTTACCAAGTCATTTTACTATACATTCTCAAAATATGCTTATTTTTATTAGATTCAAGTTGTAGATTTTTCATATAAATTAACATTAAATAAAAATATTTGCTCATTTTTCCTTTCTCTCTTCAGCGGCTCTTTACGAAATAATTTTGTTGAAGACAAATATGTGGGACAAGCACTGAAAATTGAGGGAACAGCATTTCCTTTCAGTCGTACTTAATGGAACGTCAATTTTCTTCCCCTTTTTTTCCACTGTATTTCTCAGAAACATGCTGAAAATCTTTCTCATGGAAATGTAATTCACAAACCTAAATCCAGAAAATGTCAAAATAGACCTGATTAAATTAATTTTATAAAGTAATAAAAGTTAGATTTCTTGTAATGCAAATTTTTTTTTAACAAAACAGGTAATATCAAGCATATGTGTCTTTATTTTCCTACTCAGGAGGGGGGGGGAGGATTCTTAGTGACATAAGGTTTAATAATAATTCAATTTTCATGCATTGGGAATTTATTTCTTATTTTATTTTATGCAAAACTATGTACTTTATATTACAATTTTAAAAAAAATAAAAAAAAATAAAAAAAAATAAATATATAAATAAACATATTTATTCCCTTTACAGTCTCTTTACAAAAACTTGTGCAGTAGAAGTCCAGAAATCCGCAATGCTTGGGACCAGAGGTTGTGCGGATTTTAGGATTTTGCAGATTTCAGGACTGAAAAGATAATATTCATACTAAAAGTGCAAAATAAATAAAGCGTATTAGATGCATTTAACTAAATTATTATATACATTAATACAATAATTAATTATATGCATTAAATTATTATTACATATATAAACTGATTATATTATATTGTTCATTTATATTAGGTTCCTCTATTTTTAAATCAGCATGAATCTGCTTCCTCTTTTCTCTCCGGAGTAGTCCTGTAATAGGTACCCCATCACTCCACCACTGCCGTAACCACTCGTACAAGACAGCATTAAGGTTTGCCGATTTTGCCTCATGTAAAGATGAAAGAAGATCCGGTTTCGGATTCCGGTGTTAGAATCGCTGTTGCTGTAAAATTTCAACAGCTTTTCTTTATTGTTCCGTATATCATACACAGTCCGTGTGGCAATTCCTTACAATTCTGCTATAAACCGAGCAGTAGCACCTGCCACCATCTTTAGCAGAATTTCTACTTTTTTTCATTACCGTCAATGCAATGTGTTTACGTTTTTCAACGTTGCAAGCAGTGAAATCACGAATGCATTTCTAATCTTTCATTGTATTAAAAAGCATTAAAATTTAAAATATTCTTAATTTATCCACAAAATATCCAGATTAAAAAAAACGACAACTCTAAACAATCTCGTGAAGAAGTAGCAAAGCTCAGAAAGTACAACATTGTGAAGCGTGAACTTGAAAGAAGAGTTGAGTTAATCTTCTCCTTTTTCACCTCATTGCAGATTGGAGGGGGGGGAACTCTTATCATGATGTCAATAAATTTGGTATTTCCATTATGACTTGTTATTATTTGGTAATTATGACGTCATTATCCAGTAAGTATTTTTTTCTTCGATATTCCATACTCCATGTTGCGGCTTCCGGAACCTATAAATTAAATGTTTATATTTTGAGAGGCAACGCGGATTTCAGGTCGGCGGATTTTCGATATTTGACTGTAGTAAAAAAATATATTAATTATTAAATACTTTCATTTTCTGCTATTTACGTATGAAGTTAAAAGTTCCAAGTTATGAAATTAATCAAAAAGTAAAAAATTGGAGATTTAAAAAATTAAGTGAATATTTAGCATTCAATTTGGTACATAATTATTAACCATACAATTCGATACATAATTATACTAAATGATATCTGATTACTTTACACAATATTATATGCAATGGTATATTGAAATGAAATTCCTTAATATTAGCGTATCCATTCTTTTAAATATATACAGAAGCAAATACCTTAATAAATTTAAATTTCAAGTTAGGCTTAACTTACCCCAGAATACTTCGAAATGGTAAAATTTTCTCGTGGTATACATCTAGTTATTTAGGAAATAATAGGATTCTTAGTGACATAAGGTTTAATGATATTTCAGTTTTCGTGCATTGGGGATTTATTTCTTATTTTATGCAAAACTATGCACTTTATATTACAATTTTTTTGTATGTATATATTGACACTTAAGGGCCATCATTATAATATCTTTGGCATAGGGCATAATGAAAAACGAAAAAAAAAAAAAAAATATCAAGATTAAATTAAGCTAGCATTCAACCTACTAAAACAACACGTTGGTTCATTAACACGTCCTCTCACAATTTTCCTAACATACTCGTGCCATCTGGATGGCCTTGGGCCGATGGCACTATCTTTCGAACCCCATCGAGATAACCAACAGTTTGGGGTGTCACTAAACTATGAGCCTTCAGTAGGGAGGCTTGTGTTTAAAAAGGTGTTGTTACTATCCGCACTAAAGATAATTCTATCCTGTTTTTTTTTCTAACTTTATCAAGAATATTTTTTGTCAGAAAACTTTCGTTACAACCAGATATTACATGTAACAGTATAGGGGTATCATTCCATTGAAATAGTTATCCATTTTGGAAATTTTCTCACTTTTTGAAATTTTGATATGCTTAACTTTGTATCACCTTGTATTTGAACCAAGAGAATAGTATGAAAATCTACAGTAAACATTTAATGTGTCTTAAAGCAGCAGCAAAGATTATCTAATTATGAAAGTAAGGTACAGGTTATTAAAACAATTGTAAAGTTTCTTGTGGATTAACAAATTATAAAAGCAAAAGTTACAAAATTAAAAAAGAAAAAAAAAGTTTTTTGGTCTATTCATGTAGAATTTAAAGTTTTTGTAATAGACTATCTTTTACATACACTATCCGACATTGAAAATGAAACACCAAGAAGGCATGGCCAGAAAGTGATGAAACTCAAAAAACAGAGATAGACAGCAACAATCAATAAGTAATCTTTATTTTTAAATGTTATGCAGAATACAAAGCGAGAATAGCGTCGGCTCAGTAGGTTGTAGAACCAACCACCTTGATTGAGAATACGCGAAGCAACGCATCTTCGTACAGAGTCAATGAGACTACAAACAGAGTTCTGAGAAATGGCTCACCATTCCCTGTCAACCATTTGCCACAATTTGTCTTCTAAATGCAGCAATAGCGAATCTGCAAACGACATCTAATTACATCCCAGATGCCTTCGATGAGTAAGAGAACGGTGGCCAGGGAAGCATCTGTACACCTTGCAGAGAATGTTAGCTGATGAGAGCAATGTGTGTGATCTGGTGTTATCCTGCTGATAAAAGGCACTGGGCATACCCTAAAGATAGGCGAATGTCACTGGCTGCAGCACATCGTCCACATATCATTGTGCCATCATAGTGCCCTGAATACAAACTAGAGGTGATGTGGAATCGTATGCAATTGAGCCGCAAAACATGATGCCATATTGTCGCACAGTGGGCATTCCACAATTGCTATCAGATTAGATTTGTCTCCACATCGACACCACACTCATTTGCGGCAACTATCATTGGAAAAACAGAAGCGTGACTTGTCTGAGAAAATGAACCTGTGCCATTTCGTCATGCACATCATTCGAGACCAGACCCATTGCAGACGTTGGCATCTATGATGTGGGTTCAATGACAGTCTTCGTAACAGATGCAACGAGTGGAGGCCACTAGCCACCAATTGACTGCAAATGGTTCTGGCCGATGTGGAGACATCCAGGATGTCTTGAACATGCTGCAGAATGGAGGTAGAATTGGCTTGCGGATGGGCCACCACTTTGTTGGTAGATGCATCGATCCACGTGCTGGTGTCACTCTGGGTGCACTGGATCCCTCAAACTTGCCACATTCCTTGTTTATGTCTACAAGGGCTTGAACTTGTTGAAGTAAATCAGCCTCCTTTTACTAATAACTATTTGACAGTAATAAGAAGTTGATGAGGACTACTTTTTTAATGTCAACTTTTTTTTTTTTTTTTTTTTTGTCTACTTCCTTTGAAGAAAGCATCAATGAATATCAGGGGCATCTTCAATAATGTTTATTTATGTTTTTAAATTTAGCACTTTTCACTTTTTGTTAGATGTAAATTTCTTGGAACATCTTAATTTAAGATTTTTGAAGTTTAAAAGGGGAAAAGAAAAAAAAAAAAAAAGTCTTAACTTATAAGACTTTTAGACTGAATTGTCAGTGTGCAAGTATATGCAAGCTATTTCAGTAATGTGAAAAACAAATTGAATTACCTGGACAGCACTTAACAATTTTTATGTATTACTATCTTGGGTAAATTAAAAATGGAAAAAAAAATAGCATAAACAGCTTAAAAAGCTTAAAAATATAATTAATTATTCATAGCGACCAAGTCTTCCAGTTTTACTAGGAGATTTCTGATTTTTGTTCATATCTCCAGATCACCAAATCTTCTGTTTTTAAATTTTAGCTTTTACTAAAAAAAAAAAATATTTTCTAGTAGTATTATGAAATTTTAATCCTGCATCTGCTGATTTTCAGCATAACTTTTCTCATTAAATTTGATTTTACTTGTCTTAATTCACTTTAAACAATTGTAGAACTTAAAGATTCAACCAGTATTTAATCAGCTTAATATCTGCAATAAATTTTATTTTATATTAGTAAAGGATACAATAAATTTATCCACACAGTTATACATACATTGATTTTTAATTTTATTTTCATCTTCGAGTTTTTTAATGAATAAAAGCTTTTATTCCCTACTCAGGAATTTCTCAGCATAGTTTTATAGTAGTAAACTTTCAAATTTAATTCTTTGACTAATGAGTGAAAAAATTTGATGGCAAGATTTAAACATTTTGGTGGTGTAGTGGGGCGGGATCTCTCAGAGAATGTTATTATAACTATCAATATTGATACTTATTTATTCTCTCAGAAATACTAGCATTCTCAGAAGTGAATATTTGAAAGATTTTATATTATCTATCTTTGTTCACACATACATGCACAGCCAGGGAACCCTCTTGATGTAATTTTCAAGGATCCACAAGTACTTTGTGTGTGATAATAAACTTATCTAGAATTAGTAATTTCCCTGTGCAAAGATTATTTTTCTGCAAATGAAATACATTTTTTTGTAAATCATTTGTTATAGAGCAATAGCAATTTTTTTTTTTTTTTTTTTTTTTTGTACAAATATTTTACTTGGCATGTTTTGTAAGGCATCTTTTGCTAAAGGAATTTTCAGGTTTTCGTAGGTTTCTCTGATTTCACATTTGACTGTTAAATGAAAATTCAGATTTTATAATATAAAAAATTAGGCATAGTATACATGTATGTGTATATATATTATGCATAATTTTTTATTATAGATGAAGTAATAATGTGCTGAATTCATTGAAAAAATATATAAATGAAATCTAATAGTAATAAT